CTTTGCGACGAAGAAGACAACTTAATTGAATTTTTATTCTCGCGTAGCACGGTATGTGTGTTTTGTAACACGAAAAGCAAAAGCTCACATTGCGTTCTCAGTTATAAGCTTGTTCATTTAAAATCTTATTAATTCTAATTTGTCTAGCATATTCAAATGAAATTGGTTTACATAATAAATCATATCTTGGGATAAATTGATTCAATCAATAGTTTTAATTTGTTTAACAATTCAATTTCTCCCATCTTTAATAATACCTCATACTTATTTATCTTTAGAATTTTTAAATGATTTCATAAGAGTAAATGTAATCACCAAATTTGAAAAAAAACAATTTATTTTTTTTTCCGTGCTAACATGTGAGTTTATTCATTTGCAGAATGAAACTCGGTAAAACTTGAATAAGATTCAAATAGACCCAAACGACAACAACACAACAACAATAATTATAACACTCGTAATTATATTGGATATCCACAGACTTTATATTATACAAATGTTATTGATTTGTATGCGTTTGAAGTAGATTGGGTAATTAATGTGGCAGAAGTAGCTATGATTTAGAAATTCGATAGTTTGAAAGATAAATATATATTTTATACAATTTACTGGCATTCAGGGCTGGAAATAGGAGTTGAAAATTTTCTGGAAGATTAATTTAACAATCCTTTATTTTCATTCACTCTAAGAAATTTACCATGGAATTTATACATTAATACTAGAAAAACCACAAACCCCTTTTCTTTTCAGGAAGTTCCGGATTTTAAAAACATTATTTCCAGCGTACTTTAGAATTTATACATAAAAAAATAAGAAAACAAGGAAATAAAGAGTCAATAAAAAATACTTATAAGATAGTTATTTCTTTCAAATACAATATCAGTTATATCGGAGTTCAGTGCCATCAAAAATTATTTGAATCATCTAGACAAAAAACGAAGGCGGGATTTTCGGTTGCAAATTGACAGAATAATAATAAGTTAATTAATATTTATAATAATCGTTTTAAATAAGTTTTAATAGTAATTAGTGTTGGTCGCCAAAACAATTTGAAGAGGCGAATCAAAACTGATTACATGTCAAAATCGAAAGTCAAAAGTCGAAACTAGCCAATGTAATTGCCTTTCCTGGAAGAAAGTATTAAACCTGATGTTTTTGTATTATTTAGAACTATAAAATTATAAAATTTATCGAATGAAAACTATGGCTTTGGATATGAAACTTTATGGTTTTAAAGCAACTAGAAAAATTTTTATATTTCGAAAGAATACTTTCTTCCAGGTACCATTGCAATATTAAATTTTCAACAAATCGTCACTCTCTTTTGGATTTTTAGTGATTCAACGACAGCTGTTAGCACCATATCCAAAGTCATCATTTGCTTTTAACTAAAAATTATTATTATAAATAACATTTCTTAACCCATATTACTTTATAAACCCACTTAATGCTAAATATTCAATGTGTATAAATTCATTGAATGGAATCATTACATATTTCATTATTATTTATTTTACGTTAATATTTTAGAATTTTTCTTTGCAAACCATTCCATAATACTTTCCTATTTATTTCACAATCTATCTATCTTTAGCGATAAATTCATCACCTAATTCATAGATTATTTCTGGTTTTCTAATTTTTTCTTCTTTTTTTTATTAAAGAAACTTTTAGCTCACGTATTGATTTATAGAGTAAACTGAAATTGATTTACCAACAAGTCCTTTTACAACTGGCGCGATTTTTAGTGTATTATTAATTCCATCTATCAGAGCACTTTGCTTTATCAAAGTTATAATTATTATTTACTGTGTTTATTGTGTTTATTAAATGAGTTAAATAATTTATTTTTATAAAATCCTCTTTTGTTGTTGATAGCATTTTTTCGGAAATAATGAAATACACAGTAATCGTGAATGTTTTTAAATTAATATCTGATATAAAAATAGTAAATTGAAGAAAAATAGTTGAAATACAGCATATATATATTTGGGGGCAAAAAGGTGTCATTATACCATTTCTTTGCAATTTATATTATTGTAACGATTGATATAAAATCAACAAAAGTTTATTCCAACATTGATACGAAATTAAATATTATCGTTATATTTCCATGTTACTATATTATTTTATTTAAGGATAATAGTTTAATAAAAAAAAAAAATACAATAGAATTGTTCATAATTAAAATCTTAAAATTAAAGTCATAATTAAAATAATAAATTTATTTTTGATATGGTTTCGAAATAAATTCAACGATTAAAAAATTAGTTATTTTTGTTTGTCTGTTTGTTGCGAATTTTATGTTTTTTACGATTCGTTGTGAATGTATCGTATGGAAGATTTTAAACGAATTGTCGAAAAATGTTTGATGCGAGGTTATCAATTTAAACGGCGATGCCAAAAAAAAAAAAAAAAATTCTAAATATAGTTTGCCAAAAAATTAATTGCTTTAACCGATTTTCCAACTTTCGAGCTGGGTATTTAATTGAGTCCAAGTTTGTCTGCCAAAATAATAAATTCGTCCGTGTATTCAGTGCCAGCATTCCTCCAAGAATCAGCAAAAACTTTTGCCAATTCCGCATTATCAATATTAAAAGTAGGAGTTTGTTGTGCGATTTCATTTAACAAAGCAAGATAGAAAAGCAGCTGAGGGCCTGGTAAATCTGAACCTGAACTTGGATTATTATTGTTGTTGTTGTTATTATTAATTTTAAGAAGTATTTGTGCCTTTTCAAGATCAGGTACGTGAACAGTAATGATTTTGCCATTAGATAAATTTGCGATAGTGGAAAGTGATTGATTATTACTCATTTTTATTTATTATTAAAAAAAGCAATAATAATTTTTTTGTTTATAAGTGAGCGAAGAATTAAAGATTTATTAATGACTTTTTTTTGTTTTTTTTTTAAATCAGTATTTCCAGAGTATTTCTACCACTAGCGACACTCATGATTTTATAGTTTATTTTTTCTATTGTTTTTTAATTTCCATTCAACCTAATCAAAGTGTATTGAGACGAACTATTACTACCGTTTTCAAAATTTTTGATGCCTAACTAATCATCGACAAGTTGCAGAATACAAATATGGAAATTCGACGGAATTTTAGAACGTGTACACGGATGAAAATTACCCGATGCAATGTAACCGGTCCACCTCAATTCAAAATCCAAATTTGGCAACCACTTTGTATTTCTTTTACGTTCATAAATTTGATTATTTAGGCATCGAATATTTTGATTTTTTGCTAATTAGAGGTTAATGAGGAAGTTTGCTTTTTTTTTATTGAGAAAATTTAAAAAAACATTTCTTGAAAAAATCTTATAATTCATAATTAACATTACTTTTTACGCATATTATGATTAAGGAGGTTTTTTTACTTGTAAAAAAATCAAAAATCAAAAATAAAAATCAAAAACATACTATTACAAAGACATATAATAATAAATATTTAATATTTAATGACTGCATAATTTGTGTATTTTCTTATTTTGGTAATAATTCATAAAGAATTCAATCAACTGATATAGACGTGGTCTTTTTATTCTGATTTGTCGATTGGTTTAAGTTTGTCATGTTTGTTTATCACTTCATCATTCGACAATAATCTTTCATATTCATCCGTGTATTCTCTATCCAATCCATCCCAAATTTCTTTGCCAGCCTTATAAACATTATTCAAAGCCCATTTTTTATCAGTGATTTCCTTATCTTCTTTAATCGATTTTTCAATCATTGAACAAAACAAAAAAAACGGCTTCAACTCTTTTCCCAATGGATATTCGTTGCCTAGTAAGTCAAGTGTTTCTTTAACGGTTGGAATTGGGATATGTAATTCGTGAGTTTCGTGTTGAGAAATTGGAAATTGGAACTTGGCACAATTTGTTTCCGATAAATGTGATGATGATTCTGATGATGTTTTTTCTTTACCGCGACACATTTTAAATATTTTTAGCGTGAATAATTTTTTAAAAATATTAAAAATATCAAAACACATTTTTTTTTCAAATTTCCAAACATTCAAACATTTTATTTGATTTTTGTTTTTGATTTTTTTGATTTTTCAAAACATTGTTGCGAGTAGTGGCAAATTCAATTTCATCAACAATTGAATCAAAGCAAGAATTTGTTTCCAAAAACGGGAGTATCGAATAAATGTTAAAATTTTAACAATGGTTAACCATTTTGTTAATTCCAAATTCAAAGAGCACTTTCCTAAAAAAGAATTCATTAATTCATTAAAATATTAAAAAAAATTTTTTTTAACAATTACAATTTAATAAATCGCAATGTTTGATACGTGGAAACAAAAAGATGCAAATCTAATTTGTATGAATAACGTTTGCATTATTTATATTCTCGTATGAAAATTTTTCTTAGTATTATATTGTTTGTTCTTTTATTAATTATGATCCAAAAAAAGCAGGTGAAGAAGAAATAAAAATCCCATTTAGAAAACGTGCATCATAAAAAAAGAGCCAATCAATTTCCGAGTTGTATTGTTAATATTTAATGAAGAAAAGGTCATGTACCAATACCAAAGAAGTCTAGTGAAGAAAATGTCACCAATACCGAAAAAGACAAACGACATACAAACAAATATGTACACACCATACCAAAAAAAGACGACATACAACAAACAATTCAATTTGAAATTATAATAATTATAATACAATAATTATAATTTATTAATGAATAAAAAAAAGAAATTATCAACATCCCTACCTTTAAAATAAATCTTTAATTCTTTGTTCACATATAAACAATTATTATTGCTACATTCCTTTGCATTAGCGAAACCTTTGACAAAGTTTTTTTTAATAATAAATAAAAATGAGTAATAATCAATCTCTTTTCACCACTGCAGAGTTTTCTGATGGCAGAATCATTACTATTCACGTACCTGATCTTAAAAAGGCACAAATACTTCTTAAAATTAATAATAACAACAACAACAATAATAATCCAAGTTCAGGTTCAGATTTACCAGGCCCTCAGCTGCTTTTCTATCTTGCTTTGTTAAATGAAATCGCACAACAAATTCCTAATTTAATATTGATAATGCGGAATTGGCAAAAGTTTTTGCTGATTCTTGGAGGAATGCTGGCACTGAATATACGGACGAATTTATTATTTTGGCAGACAAAATTTGACTCAATTAAATATCCAACTCAAAAAATTCAAAAAAATAATAACTTTTAATTATGACTTTAATTTTAAAGATTTTTAATTATGAGGGAAATTTTATTTTATTTTTTTATTAATTTGATATTTTCAAATATATATGATTGGCATTATAAAATTTTTATTTTAGCACTGTTATTAGTAGTTTATATTAAAATAAAAACAATCTTCAAAGAAAAAAAAATGGCAAGAGCTTTATTAACTAGTCATATAACTTCCAAATTATAGGATTAAACAATATAAGGATGACGTTTTTGCGATTTAACATATATAATACAACATCAAACTTTAAATTCATGACTCCAATTTTGTCTGCAAAAATAACAAATTCGCTTATGTGTTTGATGCTGGAATTCCTCCATGAATTAGTAAAAACTTTTGAACAGATTTAAAATTGCTACTATTCATGTAGCCAATGCGAGTTATTTAGTAATAGTGGGATTTTTGTTTTTGATCGACATTCGAAATTATCACATTACACGATTTACATAATCTTTTATTATTATTATTATTATACGGAAAATACAAAATAAAATAAAATAAAATAATTTAACTTATAATTATATAATAAATTAAACAATTTATTTTTTTAAAGATGCCCCGCAATCCTAATCAAGGTCCTTGCTCAGTTACTGGTTGTGAAAATTCAGGGCCTCACAGAAACTTTAATAAAACTGTTGATAATTAATGAATCACAGTTATTTTTTGCATGCGAGGAAAAAAATGCATTGCTTTTGTAAACAAAAATATTAATGAACAAAAATAATATTTTTACCATTAATAATTTATTAGACAATTTAAACAATCAAAATACTATGTTCATACATGCAGCCGGATCAATTTTACAATAATAAATAAATAATAATAATAAATAATAATATCAAATATTGTTATAAATTTTTTTCTTATTACGATAAATATTCTAAGATTGCTTTGCTGCTACTTTTCCAAAATTCTCCTCACACGTGGTAAATAAATAAATAAAGTATATATAATAAGTATTCATTGTATTCATTGTGCAATTTAAAAATATTTAATTTATTCGTTCTATTAGTTCTGCTCGTTCTATTCGTTTTATTCATTCTATTCGTTTCATTTGTTTCATTTGTTTCATTCGTTTTATTTATTTTATTCGATAGAAACTTGTTGTCATGGAATAATCGTTTATTTATGTGATAATCAGTTTATATTTATTATAAATCCTCAATGTGAAGTTTTAAATCTTTCTAAAAAAGGGAATTATACTTTATACTACAGTTATGAAAATATATCAAATGAAGGCTTGTAACTTCTCCTTCAACTTAACCTTAATAAAATTAAATTTTTATTCTTGTTTAAAGTTTTATTTTGAATATTAAGATTATAAAACAAAAAAAATAGCAACATTGTTTTAGAAGTATATGTTATGAAACACTTTTTTAATTGGAGGTTATTACATATTTTGATCGGTGGCGAAAAATCCGCATATATAATCTTGTAATAAAGTTTATAAAATACTTACGATTTATAACATATCAGCCGATTTGGTTTTTTGGGCCTTTTTTCAAACCTTATGTCTTATTGTGACTCGATGTTAAACACAAGTATTTTTAATGTGTAAACTGGTCGGTAGAATGATAATTACCCTAAAAAATTATTTACTCCGCTAAAAAAACTAATTTACTATCCATCAACCCGTCAAACCAATGGCCCACCTCAAAACCAATGGGTTTTTACTAGTATAAAGTATTCATAATGTTATGATCATACCGTACTGAATTTTGGGGATCAAACAAAATCAGCGCATATGAATAAAAAATAAATTTATTTAATTAGATAAAGTTTATTTGGTGTTGTAAAAGTTAATTTATAATATAATGCTTACCAGCTGGTTATTATAAAGAAATAAAAAATAAATTTATGATTTTTAATTAAGTTTATTTTGTATTGTGCACAATGAAACAAAAACAAATCCTCAAAAAATTTTGTGCAACATGCACAAAAATTGATCAGCCAATTTTATACACTGTTGTAAAAGTTAATTTATAATATAAAACAAAAAAAAATTTCAATTTTACTTTCGTCAAATCGTCAAAATGGCTCTTTGTGAGAAACTAATTTTAGTCAATGATTAAAGTCAAAAGTTTCGTCATACATCACTACTATACATGCAGCCCAAATTGGTTTGGTGATTTCAATGGTCAAGATTATTTCAATTTTGATGGTAGAAAGTAGAAATTAATTACGACACTCACTATTAAAGACATAAGTGTAACACCCATTTACGACAGACGTCAAAATACTTTGGGCTGCATGTATGATCACTACCCGTAACTAACACAACAACAATATAAATTAAAAAAGAAAAAAAAATAATAATAAAAAAAGTATAATTAGGGTATTTAATCAATTACAAATATAATTATTCATACATGCACAATATATGATTGTTGACATTAAGTATTATTTCATTTATTATTATTTCATTTTTTTCTTTCAAAGTGGCCTCCCTATAATAAAAACATAGTACTACTTGATTTTATTATTTATGTTTGTGATTATACTTATTATATCTAACGCTTCAATAGTATATTTATTCTTGGGTTTTGATAATAATAAAAAGATAATGACAGATATAGACAGAAAATTTATTGTTTAATTAAAATCCTTGGAATATGACATTACCCAATATAAAAAGTTAGGAAAATAAAAGCTATAATATATTTTTTATATTGAAATTTTTTTTCCGATACTTGGATAAACTATTTTCTTTGAAACCAACAACTTCTGTGATCAGCATAGTGGAGCGTTCGAATCGTGTAACAAAAATAGCCTATCGGTTATACCACTTACTTTTTATAGTATAGATTTTTTTAAAAAGAAATTTGTAAACTAAATACGGTAACAGATTTATTTTTATAATAATAATAATAATAAACAAATAATTTTAAATCAATATTATGGATTTTTTGAAGGTTTATGTTATCTATCACTTAAAATACTTTTGTAATGTGAAAAGCTTTGTTCTACATCCATCACAGATACCAGAAGCTATATATACTCCTAGAAAGTGGTAGTAAGATTTGTTGTTTATCAGTTCCAATATTTATTAAATCTAAATTTTCCTTCGAAATTTCACTATTTCCACAATAAATACTACCTTCGTTGATCAATTCATCTTCTGGATTTATAAATTCTTTGATATATGAATATTTTTTGAAATGAATAAACTCTAATAAATTTTGATTAAAGCATTGAGATTGAGTTTATTTAAAAGAGGGTAAACGCTGAATGTCTATTAATATATTTACTATAATCAAGTCGAGAAAATGTCAGTATTAAAGGTTCTTCGATTTTTGAATTTCATTTTACTCTGATATGACCAATCATGCACTTGCATATTATGCAAATACTCGAATTTGTTTTTTCCATTTGTCCCATTAATTTATTTTTTCATTTGATTATTCTTTAAATTTTCCACATATGTATATAGCGTATTCATATGCTCACAACTTTAATTTATATTATATAATTAATTTGATTTTTTTCACGTCTTTTTTCTAGTAACGTACCAATAATCTCTTTATAAACGTCGCATCTATGACATTGTTATTTGATTGAACACTTTTGATCTTTACGTAATTAATTTGGATCTTAATTTTTAACCATGTTATTGATCTGTTAAAAGTTTATTTGTTTCTTTCATAATTATATAAACTTCTTGAATCCTCTTTTTTTTTTTTTTGATTTTAATTTTTTTAAAATCAGATCATTTAAAAATCTTTTATTATAAAAAAATTTAATACAAAAAACAACTATAAAATAATGATGGTAGGTCGTATTCCGAAACTTTGTGTATAATGAAAACACAGATTTAATAAAAAGAAAGTTATTAATGAATCATTAATTCTTTGCTCACATATAAACAGGAAAGTTATTATTGTTTTCTTTCGATAATAAATAAAAATAAATCTCTTTTCACCACTGCAAAGTTATCTAATTGCAAAATCATTACTATTTACATACCTGATCTTAAAAATGCACAGACACTTCTGGAAAATAAAAATAACAGTAACAATAATAACCTAAATTCAGATTCAGATTTACCAGGTCCTCAGCTGATTTTTTATCTTACCTTATTAAACGAACTCGCACAAATTCCTAATTTTGATATTAATAATGCAGAATTGGCAAAAATTTTTACTAATTCTTGGAGAAATGCCAGCACTGAATTCACGGACGAATTTATTATTCTGGCAGCTAAACTTGGACTCGATTAAATATCCAACTCGAATGTTGGAAATTGGTTAATCGTCGTCATTAAAAATCGAAAATTCAAACACAAACAAAAAAATTTTTTAATCGTTAAACACCAATGAAATAATTGTTTCCTCGAAAAATAAATTTATTTTAAATTTAATTAAGATTTTTAATTATGAACTACTTTTGGTTTTTTTATTAATTTGACATTGTTATTATTTAATATTTTCTAAATCTTTTTCATTTTATTGTAAATGTGAAAAAGATTTTCTTTTTATCGATTTCCATGTGTTATTACAGTACATTTTAAGCTTTTAAACATATCTGAAACATTGTTTTTCAGACTGTTACAATTATATTTTACTATTTGTAGCATAAATTGAATTTATTTTGTACTATATACATTCAATTTTAAAGGAGTTATATATTATGAATTTTAAAAAAGTTCAATAAGGAAAGGTGCATTTATTTATTTTCTATAATGGTGAAAACTTGGACCAATTAAAATTGCCTGTAACGGCAAAGTTTATAATGTACGTAACACAAAGATCTTATACTAAAGTGTAATGTTATCCCTTAAAGGACGGAAAAATTACTATTTGACTCCATTTTTTTTTTTTGATTTTTAAATAGAAAAAGGCATTTTTATACATATCATCATCCATTTATAATTAATTATTTTTTCTGGAAAATAAATAATGCACAAAAACATTTGTTTTTTTAAAATTCACAATTAGAAAAAGTTGTTATCCTGTGATATCTGGTCTAAAACCGCAAAGTATGCGAAGATACTTGTTCTAATAAACAAGGTTAATTGGGGAGGAAAAATAATTTAGAATACAGATATTTACTTTGATTTGTACTAATAAATTTGGACAAAATCCTTTAAATATTACAAAATTAATTATTATTACTGTGATATTCTAGAAAACAATTTCTTTTTGAGCTTAAGCATAAAGCAACATCACATCATAGAGTACAAAATGTGAACGATTATCATTAGTTCTAGCATTTATTCCTTCTTCCTGCCTTTGATATTTACAATACTCACATACAATCCTATTTTCTCTACGTTCAGGAAAATGATTTCCTGGTGTTGGTCTTTATGATTCACTATGATAGTATTTTTTAAATCATACCATTGAAATATTGGATCAGGCGATATTGAAAAAAATCATACAAATACCAAATAACGTAATTAGTGGAGTTTGCACTACATAAATAAAAATACCAAAAAATTACACACCACACTCGGAGTTATACTGAAAAAATTTTATTTATGTAATTGTAACACAGAAACATCGCATCGATCAAAATAGAATTTCTATTATGTAAACAAAGGTTGAATTATCACGATGCATCTGTCATGAAATAATAATTCTTCAAAAAAATAATTGTAATATTGGGTCTCGAATATAGTGTTGCCAAATTACCACATAATCTACCAACATTGCTCGAATATACCAATGGCAGTATCTATATCTTAGTCGGAAGAAGCTAAATCACGATATATGGCACAAACCTTCCATTGAAATGCAATGTTATTTTTTTTAGCAAACAAGTCACTTGGCTCCAAAAAAAATCAAAGGAAAACCAAAGGAGAAATATTATAAATTGCAAAAAGTTAAGACATGATAAAAAATTTGTACAAACCAATTGAACTTTACTAAAAATACCAACTAAACTTATATCTAATTTCTAAAAAAAAAAAGAATTCTAGGAAAAACTTTGTTTAAAAATTCTTTGATAAATATACATGAAATGTTAATTGCCTAATTACCGTAAATACGTAATAAGCAATTATTGTAATTAATTACCACTTTCCCTCTTTAAAAACGTAATTACGAATTAATTATTGGAAATATCATAATACAAGTCACTCCCTTTACAATGATAATCTCTGTGCAAGCAAAAAAAGACAGCATAACAAGATTGTCATTATAACGGGAGTTCATATAGAAGTCATGTGAGAATCACTGTCATGTCGTCATAACGGAATAAATTCTGAGTAAATGACATTTAGACGCTGAATATCCTTATTCATCAATGCATTGTTAAAAGGAGTAGCTAGAATTTCAGGAGCTGCTTACAATAATATGGTTTGAAAGTGATGAATTTCAGATGTTGTTGTTGTAATGATGGTGGCCGAAACTAACCCATAGTTTAGGCATTTAGGCAATTTTGGTTTAGGCCTAATTTTGCCCTTGGAAACTTTCTGGTGAAATTGGCGAAACTCAAAAATTGCCTAAACTATGGGAGAAACTCCTAAACTGTGGGCGAAACTCCTAAACTGGCAAAACTTATTAATATACAATATTAGTGTTTAAATTTCTAACCATGTATGTTATGACTTGGACTGTTAAATAAAATTTTACTTGTCAATATCCAACTATAACTTTGTCTGTTTAGTTTTGCTTTTTAATGGCGGTGGTGGTTGCTCATTTGAAGACAAACTAGCCATGTCTCTTGTCGGAAAGAAAAAAATAGGAAATGTATTAAATTAAATTAATTCTTTTATTATTATTACATTATTTTTCAGTTGTCTCATTGATAATTTGTTCAAGTTCAATAAAAAATTTAAAATTGTTTTGAAATATTTTTTATGATAATAGATTAATATGTGTTAAAGTTTGTTATTTATAAATTTTTTAATCATAGCTTCGACAGTTTAGGATTTCGCCCACAGTTTAGGGAATTTTTGAGTTTCGTTACTAGTTTAGGTGCCTAAACTCCTAATGTCTGTGGGCGAAACTATTTCGGATTTTCTAAAATAATTTCGGCCACCATCATTATGTTGTTGTATCAGAACGTCTCTTTCCATGATAATCGTCAAAATTAAATTGTTCATCTGCCATTGATATGTGGTTAATAGAATTCAGATACATATAATAAATTCATGCTTACATGTTCTTAAACAAATTCTCTGACTGTCTCAGAGCGAACCAATGCATTCTTTTTTGTGCTTCATGACAGTTTCACACCTAATACTGATTTCCAAAATGCTCATGGTGGAAAACCTCCCAGGATTGATTTTTTTTTTTTCAGATTTCCCTCGTTCAAACAATTATCATTGGTGAGGATGATAATAAACCAGAAGGTACAGAGTATTATGATCCACTTGTTCTCGAGTTCAGCTACGTCGCTACACGGAGGAGAAAGAAAAAACTATTTCAAAGTTAAACAAAATCCCTATAACCAAATAACAAAAATCAAAAAAACAGAAACGGATCTATTCGTAACGTATCAAAATATAAATAATAACAGTAATTACAAATTTGTTGAATAATGTCAAAACCTCAAACTGAAAAAACAAAACTCCACCTTACTTCGAAGGATATGGAGTGGAATGTTGTGGCTGAAAAGGAAGTCAATGACAACAATAATAATTGCAACAAAGAAGCGATGACAAACTTGGAGCAGTGAAGAAGAACTTTGATAACAAAAGTCCAAAAAAAGGAAGAGAAAAAACTGAAAATTTTCTTCTTCTTTGGCTTTGTCATTGCTATTTCGGAATTGATGGTAAGAGAACATCGAAAAAACAGTTTTTTCAAAAAAGTTTTTGCCTTGACCGTTCACAAGACACAAGGGTTAACCTATAGCACGTAACGTTTAATGCCGATGAGAACATGTTTGCTGAGGGGCAAGTATATGTTGCGATAATCATTAAAAAATTGCACATCCTTGGTTTTGAACACTCTCAATTAAAGGTCTCTAGAGTAGCACAAGAAGAATATGAGGAATTAACGCTGAAGGGTTAGCATCTTGATTTATGACACATGAAATAAAACAATATATATCCAACTTAAAATCTTGTTATTGTTATATTATTACACAAATTGTATCTAAAAATAGACGTAATAAATGATTTTTAATAGTGTTGTTGTTGTGCGTGAAAATGAAGTGAATTTGCAATTCAAATTAGCCAATCAGAATTTCATATCCAAAATTTTAATTACAAATTTCGATTTCAATTTCACATACAGCAGTGTCACCAATTATTGTTGGGAGAGCGTGTTGATTGATGATGATAATATAAATTTATGATTATCTGGATCAGAATGAATCGACTATTACTAACGAATTAATTTTATTAGCGAATAATTTTGGTTTAGTGAGTTAAGAAAAGCGTTTTATTTGGTCGAAACTAATTTATTAACTTATTTCTAGGTTAATTTTTATTATAAACTTTTACAAGTTATTTACAAAGTTTTCACACTGTTCCTTAGTCGAAACTAATTAACTTATTACCAAATTATTTTAATTGCGACGTAACATTCTAACCGCGGCGACGCTAATTTCTAAATAAAGTTAACTAATTTCGATGTTATGCGAATAAAAATAAAAAAGGTAATACAAATAAAATGGTAAAAATGTATAAAAAATAAAATAAGAAATGAAAATATAAGGAATAAATAAATGTAGATATAAAAACAAGGTAAAAACAAAAAGTAAAAATAGAAATAAAAGATTTGATTCGGAATTAGTGTATTTCGACCAACAAATCAGCGTTGAATCCTAATTATGGCAACAATAGAAAGAAATCCAATTAATACAAAGTCATCAGGTATCCTTCATTATTTGCATAATTTATGGGATCCGTTTGTAGAAAGTTTATTGTTTTAAAGCAATTATCCAAGTGAAACTATTTATGGCAATTATTTATTAACATTTTAATTCATGCAAAACAATGAATAAACATTTTGTTCTTTTCCCAAAACGCAAAAGATTGAATTTGTGCATAAAGAGATTATTGAATTTTATTATTATGTTTATACCAAGAAATATAATCAACCTCTCAAAAATTACATCACACCATTTAATTTGCTCCATAACAAACAAATAAACAAATCATTAATTAAAGTGCTTGGCAAACCAAAAATACACAACAAGCAAAATATTATTGTTTATTATTATAATTATGACAAAATTAGCAACGTCGTGTTTCTAAATATAGTGCAAGATTATATGTATATATAGGCCTCAAATTCACTCCAAAAAAAAGTTTCTCCATCAAATAATTAATTATTAGTACAAAAAATAATAATCATAATCATAATAATAATAATAATAATAATTAATTGTTAGTAAAACTAAATATTAAATTATAAAAATACAAAAATGATTAATCCATCCAAATTATCTATTGCTTTCTTGGTCCTCGCAAGTGTTGCAATATTCACTCATGCAGCTCCTGCTGCAGTTGGGAATGAAATTACATTAGACGAAAACACCCTTTGCACCTACCTTCCTCCTGCACCAGGAGGTGATGTTGCTGGTCACGAAAACGATGCTCAACCATTCTGTAATACAACTACCCCTCCAGGAGTAAAAGGAGCAGTCAATCCTATTCCTGAAGGATTTATTGTAACATCACATTTCTTAAGCGGAGAGGGATTCGTTCAATATACGGGTACAATCAATCCAGATGCATACAAATTGAGTCCAACTGATGAAGGTGGTCAATATGACAGTGTAGGAGCTCCACCAGGTGCACAATGTGTGGGAAATAATTTTGTAAAATTTGTGAACTTAATCGAACCAAAAGATAAACGTTTCTGTGTCCGTTGTTGTTCTGACAAGAGCAAATGTGATACTGGAAAGAGCACCTTTGGTTGTGAAACTGTCATCCCTGGTGATTACAGTTAAATTAAATAGATATTTTTTATTATTTCTTTAATTATTTAAATTTTATTTATTTTATAATAATAATAATATAATATTACTTGTATTGGTTCGGGTTAAATAAATAATACTATGCTTTTTTAAGAAATAAAAGTAAATTTTTTTCAATTACAAATAAAAATACAAAATGTGACTTTTGTACAACGCAGGTCCCACAACTTTTGCACCACATACTTTTTTTGTCTAATGATGTAATTTAACATACGGTTTGAAGCGACTTTACATCATACACAATCTCCATTAAAGGCTCTTTTTTTTAAAAAATAGAATTAAGCTTACGCATCTCGCTTCACAAACATCAGCCAAGGTTCCGTCGAAAAATCACCAATTTTAATGGAACATTGATTAATGTAGTTGCTTGCTGTTGTAGTGATAACAATAATTATTTAATTTATATTCTAGCGTTTGTTTAAAAAAACTTTATTCTTTCCTCCGCAACCATCGAAACTTGAAGTTTGTTGTTAAAAAAAAAAGCATTTGTCTACGCCCTGATGGGTGCCCTACATCAAAAAATGCAATAAAAACTGTTTGGTCATGTGATATTTTCTAGACATTCCATAAATAGTATACCATTTGTGGGGTAGCAATAGTTTATTTTATTAAAACGCATAATAATAATAATAAATGATCATAGGAGAAAATTCATTTTTAGATAGTAAATTCGGTAAACTTGTGCAAACTTTGATCATTTTGTGTCATGTTGTAATTTTGCAAGAAAAAGTCTTGGCCAGCGCAGATTTCTATCCAATTTAGAAACTATTATTAACGTATGACACTATTTGTGTTACACTGAAGGATCTATAAATAGTTGCATCTCTTCTCTTTAATAATAATCAAAAAGGAATGGATTGGTGCTCTGATATCTTCCCACTTTTTTTTTAAAAAAAAAAAAAATATATATAATTCTCTAAAGGAAAATTTTTTTAAAAACCCCGTTATATAATATGACATTGTCAAAAATTATTGTTACACATATTAATTCAATAATTAATTTTGACTTGATTTTCAATATATTGCCAAGATCTACTTTCACATGGGCTGATGAATACTAACTACCTAAACTAGTGTAGTATCTATCGAACAAACAAAATGAGTCAATTGAGAAATGAATGACCTGTGAAATGACAAGGTCAGATGATAATTTACTATTAATTTCATATGCCAAGTAATTGTCAAAGAAGAATGCAAGTATCGTTGAAGAAACAAGTATTGTTAAAAAATAATAATGATAGGTGGTTATTGTCTGCAACTCGACGTCCTAGTTATTATTAACAAAAATAGTGGTGATTATTGATCTGTAACTCGACATTCCGATTAATTAATTATTTATAAACTGTTTATTTATTTATTTAGTTTACTTGGCACGAATAATGAAGATCCCAATGATTTACTTTCAGAAGTAGGTCTTGTCGACTTGCCATTTATGCAAAGAGCGTGATATTACGGTGGGAAAATTTTTTCTGATGGAAGAAAAGTTAATTCAATGCGTTGTGGTGGTATTGCACCTTGAAGTGGTTCCAAGTGAATTTTAGAGTAAAGGACATCGAAAGCACTTGAATCATTGAAGTCTGTGGTGGATATCATTTAATGTCTCTCAAATAACTTTACCAATCATGAAAAGATCCAAGCGGCATCCATTGATCTTAATATTGTATGACAAAAGACTAAACTGGTTGTTAAAATCAAAACAAATAAAACTTGCTCACTCAAAGAGAATATCATTACTTTTAAGAAGTAGAAAAAATTTTAAACAATAAATAATGAATGAATGCTATGATTTACATTATCATTCATAACTAGAATTAAAGCTAGAATAACAACAAATTGCAATCACCCCATTACATACCCTTTTTGTTCTACTTTGAAATTTCCTTGCCTTCCTCCTTTGGTTGATTTTTGTTTAATTGTGAAAAAAAGAAATTACTACGTATAATTGACGCTATAATACCTTGGTCTTAATCTCTAATTCCTTGTAAGTGTTGTCTATTTCTTCTTTTCATTTGGGAAAATCACTTTCCAAAATAAGTTGTTGAATTCGCATGAGAACGAAATAGTAATTGTGAATCCCTCTAACTTGTCCTTGGGGCTTTACATGTGGAAGCTAAAGCTTCGAACGAACTGGTTTGTAAGCCAGATAACTTATTCAATTTACGAGCTGGCTTGTGAGCTTACTAAGTTATTTGGCTTGCGAGCTGACTTTATGTGGAAACTCCATAGTTTATGGGAGCCATCACATATAAAAATCATATAGTAACGTGTTTTAAAAACATTTAGCCATTGTCTTACATAGACTTTTCGACCAGAATTCCAAATTGTTTCATAAAGTTTCATTTCGCATGGTCTTAATATTATCATTACTTGGGTGGTGCAATTATACAATTGGCTTATTATAGAGAGAATCTGCTATAAATTGTATTAATTCACATGTGGTAAATTCTCGAATCGAATTTTAAAGTGATTCAATTCAAAAAAACTTATTTGATTTGATTCGATTGATTCTAGTCAAAGTGTATTCCTAAATTTCTTTTAATAGAATTTATATTCGAATTAGGTTTTATTCGAATGATTTGTTTTATTTGTTATGAATTTGAGTATTCGAAATACATTGAATGTTTATTCGAACGAATAAAATGAATAAAACGAAACAAACTCTTCGATTACTTCTTCAACAGACACAGTGTAATATGTTCAAAAAAGAACGAGAAGTCAAGTGTGCAACCATTTCGCAATTGTAGATGGGAAAGCCAAATGCAACTTTGACTTTCGAAACTATTTATTTCCAAAGGCAATTCTTTTAAAATTCAAATTATTTCATATGGTATATATTTGAATTGGATTTGAACCAGGCAAATTAAATTATTTATAGGTTCGAATTTCATTGATTTGTTCGAAGCCTTAATTAAATGATGACGTTTCCATTTCAATGGGAGTTCCTATATTATTGTATAAAGAGGCGAAAGAGAAAAACATTAGATTTAGAAATCAAGATGTTTTGTGTCTTTCTTTGGAAAATGAACCATCTAATAATGAAATTGAAAATTACCAAATTGTTATCGAAAATTTAATAATAAATTGTCATTTTGCCTCTCCATTAAGGAGCAAAAGATATATTACAATTGATGATTAAGGAATAAATAATCAATGATAACTGACGAAGAAATCATCACTTCTTTCAAGCAAATCGGAGAGGAAGTTGTAATCCGACTGCAACTAAAGTTTCAATAAAAGATGCTGTAAATGCCTATGAGACTGCTTACAATTTTCTTCAACAAGGCGAGACTGTATTGGATCTAATCTTTTAGATCATTAAAAGAAAAAAGAAAATTCAAAAACAAAGTAGCATTACAACGTATTTCAATAAATAATTATAATATTTTATTATATATATATTTTTTTTTGAATTATACAGTATGTACCATTTTTTTTCTGACGATGCTGTTTCAGCGATTTTTTTTTTAAATAAGATCCCATGGGTCTGTTGAAACGAGGGTAGATTGTATTTTGCAAATTTTTATGGCAGAATTTAATAATAAATCAAACACACCTTTAAGCTACGATAACCTTTATAGTGAGCTTTTTGTCCCATCTCATTACTAATTATTTTATTATTTGGCAAGAAAAAAAACTCTATAGCCTAAAAGTTTGATTTAATATAATTCCCCTTAGATTCATGTTTGTATTTCTTTAGTTGAAAGCTCTGGTACAAATTTTATTTATAGTTAATAGCTTTATATCTTTTATTATTAATCATGCCCCAATCAAACAATTTAAAATAAAACACAGTATATATTATGGATATAATTAATATAAAAAATGGATTTTGATAATAATAAAAGATAATAACTGAAAGCTTTAAACAAAAAAGAAAAAATTGGATTTAGTTTTGTACAAACAACTCGACTAACCATAAAAAAAAAGATGTGTTTTTTATTGATAATTCTTTTCTCACGATAAAATTAATTATCCATTTAACGTAGTGCTGATCTGTTTATTTTAACATATACAATTCATATTTTTTTTTAAAACAAAGAAAATATACTCATTACTATATATATATATGTGGTGGTACAAATATACTAGAAATAGTCAATTCTAGCTGACATGACAATAAGGAGAATTTCTTTTTAAATAAATCAGTGGTAATGAGGAATTTTTTTGATCCGATATTCTCCGATAAAATTTTCCCAAACCGGGCGAAATTTTTTAACTCTGACGTTGAATTAATTAAACATGTTTTTTATAAAAATTTTCAAGATTCAATAAATTAAGATGTCTTTAAAATATATTCGATTTATGAAACTTATTCAAATATTTTTTTATTTCAAAAATTAATATTATAAATTTTTCGGATGGTGATATTAATATGTCACTAACATGTTTCGCCGATCGATTGTAATTGTTCAATTCAATGAAAAACCATGCGCTCAAAACTTTAATTTATTATTACGTAATTATATACAATACAATCATTTTTTTGAAATGAGTGGAATGAACATCATTAGTTACGATTTAGTTTATAAAACTTATATATATCAAATATGAAAAAATAAATCCTTCAAAAAAAATTTTAATGACACAAGTTTGGTCAATGATCTCGGAAGTGGTTTTTAATTTTTCATATACTTGTGAAAATTATTTTAAAAAGGTATTCCTGATTTTTTTATTATTAAACAAATGGAGATGGGATATAATTTATAATCTTTTATTTATTTTTCCTATTTCTCCTATTTCTAATAATATTGTGTTACGATTATTTTGATTTGTAGAATTATTGAACTAATAAAAATGGAGAGAAATTAAACCTAAAGGCCTGATTCCCTCCTTTATTTAATGTTAAAAGTTTTACCCAATATTAAAAAAACCATATACACAAAAAGAAAATAACAATTTACTTTTGAAATTTAAATTTGATGCTAGTTATACTGTATATGTAATTAATGTCATATTGAAGTTATAAATAAACGCAATTCATTTTCACTTTAACACATCTTTCCTTCTAAAAAAAAAATTAATACCAAAACAATCAAAATAATTGTTGGTTGTCTGATTTTTTTGTTTTTTTCCGTTTTAAGGTTGATATTGATGTGGTGGAATGAACGGCAAATGTAAAATATTTTCCGCATTAAATTTCGTAATAACTTACACAGCCTACACTGTGCGAGGAAAAATAACGGTGTGATGAAGTTTTTATTTATACGGTCTACTTTAATTTACGCAAGAAAAATTTTATAAATATACGAATTAGTTTACCAATTATTAATCGTTTATAAAAATCAAGTCTTCATAATTATATAAACACTCTCAAATTTTCTTTTTTTAAAAAAAAATTCAAATATGAAAAAATAATTCCTTCTAAAAAAATTCTAAAAAATCAATCCTTTAAACAAATTTTAAAAATCTATCAAATAATCAATACACTTTGATTAAGTTGAATGGAAATTAAAATAATACGAAAATTAGCTACAAAATCATGACGGTGAGCAGAAAAGACTCTGAAAACATTGTTTTAATAAAAAATCAAAGAAAAGTCGCTAATTTTTCGCTCATATAATTACAATTGCTTTTTTTCGATAATAAATAAAAATCAGACTCTTTCCACAACTGCAAAATTATCTAGTGGCAAAATCATTACTATTTACGTACCTGATCTTAAAAATGCACAATTACTTCTTGAAAATAACACAAATTCAGGGCTACCAGGTCCTCAATTACTTTTCTATCTTGCCTTGTTAAATGAGTTCACACAACAAATTCCTGATTTTAAGATTAGTAATGCAGAATTGGCAAAAGTTTTTACTAATTCTTGGAGGAATTCCAGCATTGAATACACAAACGAATTTATTATCCTAGCAGATAAACTTGGACTTAGCTAAATATCCAACTCGAAAGTTGGAAATTAGTTAAGCAATCCATTTATAATTTTTTTGATTAGATATCACAACCAACAAATGACCAATAATATCTGAAACACACAATCAAAAAAACAACATTTCGAAAAATAAGATTCAGATTTACAGCTCCTAAATTACTTTTTTATCATTAGTAATGTGGAATTTTTACCAATCCTTGGAGGAATTCTAGCACTGAATATACAAATGAATTTATTATTCTGACAGACAACGTGAACTTGATTAAATATCCAACTCAAAGTTGGATATTGGTTATGAATTAATTTTGCAAATTATATTTACAATTTTTTTGGGAATCGTTATTATTAAAATCAGTTACAATGTAAATTTATTTCGGAAAATAAATTTTTTATCAAGACTATTATTTTAAATTGATAATATCGTAACATATTTTTTTATTAATTCAACATTTTTTGTTAATTATTTATATAATATTTTAATAAGTTTTCATTTATAGACTTATAGATTAGATTTACCTTATTTATAATATAATAAAACAAAAGATTGGCATCCTTCAAAAAAATAATGTCTCGAATATATTGTTGGCAAATGATCACGTAATTTCCTAACCAGTGTTGGCAACTGGACTAAGTCCTGTTTTTTTTATTTATTAGACCAACTGGGCTGGTCCAATCCATTACAATCGAAAATACTTGTGATATTAAAATTATTTATTTTTTATATCAATGAAATTTTCATGAAAATTAAAATAAATTACTATAATATGGTAGTTGTAGATCTACAATGAATAAATTCCACAGTTCCCATTTTGAATTATTATCCCTTTGTGGGTGTATATTATTGGAAGCATCAGTAATTAAATTTTTATTGATTCTATCATTTGTAATTGCTTCATTTTCATTAAAAGCCATATTTTCAGCTTCTAACATTTTGTTCCATAAAGACAATATTGATTCAAAATTACAACCTTACTATTATTAGATTTTCATCTTAATCTCAAAGTCTTCAAAATCACATTCATTGTGATTCAAATTTTCTTCATCAGTTTCAGTTGGATTAACTTCATTTTGGTCTAAATTTTGAGCATTATTAGAATGATTAATAATCTCAAGTTTTTATTTCTGTATACTTGGCTCAAATTTGAGCCATTGTAATATAGCCTTATTATATTATAATAAAAAAATTATTGATTAAAATTTTACTTTTTAAAAATGTTACTATAATATTAAGAAAGACATGAAATATATTTCTATGCGGAGAATACAAGAATCCAAAGCTTTTCTATTGATGCTGAATTAATACATGTGCTAAAAATTCTTTAGCAACATAATCTAACTCAGTTGTTTTAATTGAACACCAATTCCAAGGTTCCAAATTTTGTAGAAAAATTTACACAAGAAGAAAGAGATTGAAAGGAGATTGAGAAGTATCAGTTGAAAGATAAATCATCATTATAATATTGCAATACTTCATTATCATCTTGATTAACATCTTTGTTTGAAATTATTGGTGGAAATGCTTTTATAATTAATTTTAAAAAATTGTACAAAAAACATATTGTTCTGTTTTCTTTTTTTGTTTAAATTTTTTGTTTGCCAGGCTTTTGTAGTTTCGTTATCCATTTCATTTAAAACCAATATGTATTTTGTTAATCAATTCTTTTCCGTTTTTAACAAAACAATAATGGATATAATTTAATAATAGTAAAAAGTCAATTGAGACCAAAACAAGTAATTTTAATGATGATAATACAAATTTTTTTTTGAATCAGTGGTGATTGGACCTGTGACTAGACTGTTCCAGTCCAATTACCAACACTGCGAGTTAACATAGTAAATTTGTTAAACTTGTACTGATTTACAAATAGTATTAGTATCGTCACCAATTATTATTTGTGAGTGTATTAATTAATGATAACAATAATTATTATGTGAATCGGTTATTACTAACTACTAGTTTCATTGATGGATAATTTTGTTTAGTTATTTATAAAGAAATTTTCGATAATTTGTTGTTGATTTGTCCCTAAACTAATAATAGTTGTTAAACCTTATTACAAATTTAAATCACATCGAATTTGAACTGCTTATATATCATTAATTCAATTATAGGTGCTCTTGTCACACACTTGTGTCTCCAATACTATTCTGTGCTTTAAGCGTGCTTGTATAATCGCGCTTTTGTGATAAATAAAGTTAATTCGCAATTCACCAAAAACGGAAAGAAATTAAATAATGCAGATCGATGCAAAATTACAACATTTATGCAATTTTTTACCAGTAAAGTGTGAACTTAAAACCGGCTCAGGATTATAGGTAAAAAAAAAAAAAATGCAATATTCGAAACATTCAACTAAAAAATTCACTTGGAGAAATGTAATTAAGGATTACTAGAATACCTACTAATCCAATTTTCAATGGTTTCCAATATCATTTACTTCCAACTCACCTGTTTTACACATTATTTTGGAGATTTTTGTATCGTTCACATTTATTTATGTCACCACTATCAGAACAACCGTCGAGTGCTTGGAAACACTTGACACGTTTTTTACTTTGTCATAATATCATTGAAGTTAACTCTCTAAAGACATTGTTGTTTCTACAAAGTGTAGTTCTGCTGATTGTTCCCTCGGTGGAAGTTATGTGTTTAATAATTGGAACAAAAATAGGACACATATTTTTTTAATTATTATTTTTAATTATTAATTATTATTCGGTTTTTATTGATTTACGATTTATCACCACTTTACCACTGTTTTTTATATTTCAAAAAGGGCATGTTTGTTTACAATTTTAAAATAAATGAATCACTTTTTCGAATTATTACTATTACATTTTCAAAAACATGCATGTCGTTTTTAATTAATTGATTAATTTAACATGTTTATATTTACCAATATTTTCTAAAATGATAATAAAATAAAAAATTTATTAAATGCAATAACAATATATATAACAACAACAATGTCATCAGTTCATTACCATTTTTTTCTTTATCCTTTTTTTATGTAAGAGATAATTTTTTATCTGACTTTTTTTTCTTGCATGATAATCAACTTTTATAAACCTTTTCAATATTTTTAGAATATTCACTCTCATATATCGAAGAAATATCACAAATCACTTATTGTAACCGTTGGTTGTCAAATGTTTAGATGTTCTAAATTCGGATTTTTTCATCCTTTCTTGTTTGAAATTTTTCTTTTCTCATAATCTTCAACTTTATTTTCATCAACAATTGGTGATGATGATATATTTGAATCTATTAAATATAAATAAATTATATATACACACCCTAGACAAAAGTTTTCGGGCACCTGTTTTTACTGATTGTGCAAAACTACACATAATAACTATTCATAAAATTTTATTAAATTGTAACTTAGGTTTGGTGAAGGAATATATGTGTAAAGTTTGGTATTCTTAAAAGAGAATTGAGCATCAAAAAAATGTTATTTAAATATACCATAATTGCAACATTTTCTTAATTAATTGTGACAGTGTTTCAATTAATTATAATGCTTGCTTCATTAATTGTGACCAGAACTGGAAATAGGGTCTGAAAAAAACGGAAATTTCTCCTGAATGCTAAAAATTTTCTGGAAGAAAATTTTTTGGTGCTAAAATTTTTTTACTTTGCTCTTCTGTTTTTACTTTGAAAAATTTTACTAAGAGCATCACTAAAATCATAACCAAATAAATCAGTACCTTCTAAAC